ATGACCACCTCATTCCACACACCTAACCACCTCATTCCACACAACTGACCACCTCATTCCACACAACTGACCACCTCATTTCACACAACTGACCACCTCATTCCACACAACTGACCACCTCATTCCACACAACTGACCACCTCATTCCACACAACTTACCACCTCATTCCACACAACTGACAACCTCATTCCACACAACTGACCACCTCATTCCACACAACTGACCACCTCATTCCACACAACTGACCACCTCATACCCCACAACTTACCACCTCATTCCACACAACTGACCACCTCATTCCACACAACTGACCACCTCATTTCACACAACTGACCACCTCATTCCACACAACTGACCACCTCATTCCACACAACTGACCACCTCATTCCACACACCTAACCACCTCATTCCACACAACTGACCACCTCATTCCACACAACTGACCAACTCATTCCACACAACTGACCACCTCATTCCACACAACTGACCACCTCATTCCACACACCTAACCACCTCATTCCACACAACTGACCACCTCATTCCACACAACTGACCACCTCATTCCACACAACTGACCACCTCATTTCACACAACTGACCACCTCATTCCACACACCTAACCACCTCATTCCACACAACTGACCACCTCATTCCACACAACTGACCACCTCATTTCACACAACTGACCACCTCATTCCACACAACTGACCACCTCATTCCACACAACTGACCACCTCATTTCACACAACTGACCACCTCATTCCACAAAACTGACCACCTCATTCCACACAACTGACCACCTCATTCCACACAACTGACCACCTCATTCCACACACCTAACCACCTCATTCCACACAACTGACCACCTCATTCCACACAACTGACCACCTCATTTCACACAACTGACCACCTCATTCCACACACCTAACCACCTCATTCCACACAACTGACCACCTCATTCCACACAACTGACCACCTCATTTCACACAACTGACCACCTCATTCCACACAACTGACCACCTCATTCCACACAACTGACCACCTCATTTCACACAACTGACCACCTCATTCCACAAAACTGACCACCTCATTCCACACAACTGACCACCTCATTCCACACAACTGACCACCTCATTCCACACACCTAACCACCTCATTCCAAACAACTGACCACCTCATTCCACACAACTGACCACCTCATTCCACACACCTAACCACCTCATTCCACACAACTGACCACCTCATTCCACACAACTAACCACCTCATTCCACACACCTAACCAGCTCATTCCACACAACTGACCACCTCATTCCACACAACTGACCACCTCATTCCACACAACTGACCACCTCATTCCACACACCTAACCACCTCATTCCACACAACTTATCACCTCATTCCACACAACTGACCACCTCATTCCACACACCTAACCACCTCATTCCACACAACTGACCACCTCATTCCACACACCTGACCACCTCATTCCACACAACTGACCACCTCATTCCACACACCTAACCACCTCATTCCACACAACTGACCACCTCATTCCACACAACTGACCACCTCATTCCACACACCTAACCACCTCATTCCACACAACTGACCACCTCATTCCACACAACTGACCGCCTCATTTCACACAACTGACCACCTCATTCTACACACCTAACCACCTCATTCCACACACCTAACCACCTCATTCCACACAACTGACCACCTCATTTCACACAACTGACCACCTCATTCCACACAACTGATCACCTCATTCCACACAACTGACCACCTCATTCCACACAACTGACCACCTCATTTCACACAACTGACCACCTCATTCCACACAACTGACCACCTCATTCCACACAACTGACCACCTCATTCCACACAACTGACCACCTCATTCCACACAACTGACATGATTACCCTCCTATCCCACCCCACACAACTTTACAAACTGTTGAAGCTTAACTACACTTGATCGTGTGGTAGTTTGTCACGTCTAAATAGCTCCGACAATCTCCAGATGATCACGTTATACTGACCTCTCCACATAGTCTCCAGATGATCACGTTGTACTGACCTCTCCCCATAGTCTCCAGATGATCACCTTGTACTGACCTCTCCCCATAATCTCCAGATGATCACGTTGTACTGACCTCTCCCCATATTCTCCAGATGATCACGTTGTTTCTGACCTCTCCGCATAATCTCCAGATGATCACGTTGTACTGACCTCTCCCCATAGTCTCCAGATGATCACGTTGTACTGACCTCTCCCCATAGTCTCCAGATGATCACGTTGTACTGACCTCTCCCCATAGTCTCCAGATGATCACGTTGTACTGACCTCTCCCCATAGTCTCCAGATGATCACGTTGTACTGACCTCTCCCCATAGTCTCCAGATGATCACGTTGTACTGACCTCTCCCCATAGTCTCCAGATGATCACGTTGTACTGACCTCTCCCCATAGTCTCCAGATGATCACGTTGTACTGACCTCTCCCCATATTCTCAATCACAGGTACTGCGACAGTTATGTCTTGCTACAATGCCCTTCCCGATTATCAGTCTTAATCTTGACCTGCCCAACATTGACCTGCCCAACATTGACCTGCCCAACATTGACCTGTCCAACATTGACCTGCCCAACATTGACCTGTCCAACATTGACCTGCCCAACATTGACCTGCCCAACATTGACCTGCCCAACATTGACCTGTCCAACATTGACCTGCCCAACACTGACCTGCCCAACATTGACCTGCCCAACATTGACCTGCCCAACATTGACCTGCCCAACATTGACCTGCCCAACATTGTAATTGACGTTCTCAAATAATTCGATCAAGTGTTCAGAAAACAGAACTTATTTTCCCACGTTTTCTTTAACTTGCTTTCGCCTCTGTTTGTTTGTTTGTTTTTCCAATCAAATCTTGCGATCGAAATTTCTGGCACTTCCCAGTTAGCTAGCGCGCTGAAATTTTCAGGGAAGCTTTGTTTTGGATGCCAATAGAATATTCAATTGTTATTATTACTAAATTGATCCATGGAAACATTTTATTGATCATTTTAGACCGCTATATAATTGTACAAAAAACGTGGGGAAAAAGGGACATAACCCAGTAACTGTAATTTGATGAAAACAAGGCTCGGTACTCTCCCTCTTTTTGCTTACTGAGTAGTTCTCACGCGGTGTTTGTGTACAAACAACCAGAACGTAACAACTGGTGGCCAGTATGGGGGAGACGATATGGTCGAGTGGTTGGGTACACGATTGCTATCCCACTCGGCGCGGGTTCAAATCTATGTGTTCTAGTCAGTAACGTATTCACACAACGTGTTTTTACGAGTTGTCTTCGTTTACCCAAAAAAAAGTGAAAAGATAAAATCGATAGCAAGATTTTAATGCAAACCAACAGACAAAGACTAAAAAGTAGAAAATAATAATCATTAAAAAAGTTTTTAAAAACCCACGTTTTCTAATTGAACTAAAAAGTAGAAAATAAATGCTATACATCACAATAATGCAAGCGATCACTCTACTGTAAGCGATGAAAAACGTGGGCGCCGTGATTTTCTTACAGTTTCTAATACTGTTGACTCTCTACAAGCTCCCTAATAAAAGTCAATAGTATTATCTAATCAATAGTATTATAACTTTTACTTCGGCGCCCCACGTTTTTCATCGCTTATAGTAGAGTGATCGCTTGCATTATTGTGATGTATAGCATTTATTTTCTACTTTTTAGTTCAATTAGAAAACGTGGGTTTTTAAAAACTTTTTTAATGATTATTATTTACCTTTGTGAGGAAAAATCACAGCGCGCTATAACAGGTGACCTTTGACCTAGGTAACGTACATTGTCACGACTGTCAAAATATAACGGCCTAGATCCTGAACATGTCAGCCACAAGAGAATTCATTTGAAAAACGACCTTTTCCAACAACTTCTTACCTGAAATTGTAATTATAACATTTTCCAACAACTTCTTACCTGAAATTGTAATTATAACATTTTCCAACAACTTCTTACCTGAAATTGTAATTATAACATTTTCCAACAACTTCTTACCTGAAATTGTAATTATAACATTTTCCAACAACTTCTTACCTGAAATTGTAATTATAACATTTTCCAACAATTTCTTACCTGAAATTGTAATTATAACATTTTCCAACAACTTCTTACCTGAAGTTGTAATTATAACGTTTTCCAACAACTTCTTACCTGAAGTTGTAATTCTAATTTTCAAGCCAAGACATTCACTTGATGGGCAGGCGAGGTTGACTGGTACATCGTTCGACTGCTAACCGGAAAGCTCGAGTTCGGATCCCGGGCTAATGCCCAGTTCTGACTCACGGTAAGGAAAGTAAAGGCAGCTGGTCATAGAGCTGACCACATCATCCCTCTCGAGGCCGAGACCATAAACTCATTCTACTTTTTTTGGTACATATTAGTTGTAATCTTTTTTTGTCAAAAACTAGTCTCTCTCTCTCTCTCTCTCTCTCTCTCTCTCTCTCTCTCTCTCTCTCTCTCTGTATATATATATATATATATATATATATATATATATATACATATATATATATATATATATATATATATATATTTATATTTATATTTATATTTATATATTTATATATATATATATATATATATATATATATATATATATATATATATATATATATATATATATATATATATATATATATATATATATATATATATATATACATATATAAACGAGAATGAGAGAGAAATATCAGGCCGACCTATTTTAACCACTGGTACACTGAAGTCTTACTCAATTAAGTAGGTGCTCAAAATGTGCAATTTAAGATAACAATCTGTGGTTTACGGGTTAAGTCAGAAGGAAGTTTCTATTTTATTTCGGCCCTTCCTACTCGAGACGTTTGTCATATGACGCATGCAGCCAGCCAGGTATATAAGACAAGACTCCCTGCACAGGCACATTTGAGGAGACAGCAGGCAAAAACAGACCCGTTTCTAAATTAAGAAGTTGCGTTAGATAATAGGCGCTGGTTAACGATGAAACTAGCCCAGCTAATGGACCTTAAGCATGCAGTTTTGAACTGGATCGTTCTCTACTGCCTGTATGAGACAGCTCAAACTCAGTGTGTTGGTGTTGACACTGCCTCGGGCGTCAGGACCATGGCAGAATCAGAGTATGCTTGTGCGGCTCTTTCTATGGGAGAGAAATCTTCAGATCTGGGCAAGTTTTATTATATGTGTAATCAGGGGAGGGCACACAGATTTACTTGCGGAAATCTAAGGTAAGGTTGAGAACTCCCTATACATCCTGTTTTACTAATCCAAATAAATGTAGATTTGTTTGTCACGTGCGTGTCACCAGCACTCAAATTGTATGGCGACAAGTAGTTGTCCTACATAACAAGACTGGAGTCAAGTTGATGGGGGGGGGGGGTAATTAGTTGGGTATTCACTCAACTACCATCATTACGGCGTTAACTCAAGTAGCATCATTACGGCGTTAACTTAAGTAGCATCATTAGGGCGTTAACTCAAGTACCATCATTAGGGCGTTTACTGAAGTACCGTCATTGGGGCGTTCACTGAAGTACCGTCATTGGGGCGTTCACTGAAGTACCGTCATTGGGGCGTTCACTGAAGTACCGTCATTAGGGCGTTCACTGAAGTACCATCAGTGGAGCGTTCACTGAAGTACTACTGACTGGTCATGTGTGTGTGTGTGTATGTGTATGTGTATGTGCATGTGTATGTGTATGTGTATGTGTATGTGTATGTGTATGTGTATGTGTATGTGTATGTGTATGTGTATGTGTATGTGTATGTGTATGTGTATGTGTATGTGTATGTGTATGTGTATGTGTATGTGTATGTGTATGTGTATGTGTATGTGTATGTGTATGTGTATGTGTATGTGTATGTGTATGTGTATGTGTATGTGTATGTGTATGTGTATGTGTATGTGTATGTGTATGTGTATGTGTATGTGTATGTATATGTTCATGTACATGTACATGTACATGTACATGTACATGTATATGTATATGTATATGTACATGTACATGTACATGTACATGTACATGTATATGTATATGTACATGTACATGTACATGTACATGTACATGTACATGTACATGTACATGTACATGTACATGTACATGTACATGTATATGTACATGTATATGTACATGTATATGTATATGTATATGTATATGTATATGTATATGTATATGTACATGTATATGTATATGTATATGTATATGTATATGTATATGTATATGTATATGTATATGTATATGTATATGTATATGTATATGTATATGTATATGTATATGTATATGTATATGTATATGTATATGTATATGTATATGTATATGTATATGTATATGTATATGTATATGTATATGTATATGTATATGTATATGTATATGTATATGTATATGTATATGTATATGTATATGTATATGTATATGTATATGTATATGTATATGTATATGTATATGTATATGTATATGTATATGTATATGTATATGTATATGTATATGTATATGTATATGTATATGTATATGTATATGTATATGTATATGTATATGTATATGTATATGTATATGTATATGTATATGTATATGTATATGTATATGTATATGTATATGTATATGTATATGTATATGTATATGTATATGTATATGTATATGTATATGTATATGTATATGTATATGTATATGTATATGTATATGTATATGTATATGTATATGTATATGTATATGTATATGTATATGTATATGTATATGTATATGTATATGTATATGTATATGTATATGTATATGTATATGTATATGTATATGTATATGTACATGTATATTTAACGCACATTTATCATTTAATTAAGTAGAATTACCATTTTTCTTTATATATTTTGCTATTTTTTGCCATAGTTTCACCCGGTGCGGTCCGCACCCCCCGCCCTCTCCCCCCCTCCCTTGCTACGCCTCTGGTTGCAGTAATGCTACAGTTATTTTCAATATATTTGCAGATGGGATGCTAGATCTAATACGTGCAACTGGCCATCGGCTGCTAGGTGTGCAGACATACATTCTGGGTCGACAGCTTCAGACCATCAAACTGTTGACACAAGTAAAGACTTTTTTATTGATCGATGATCGACGATGATCAATTGTGTGTTTGTTGCATTTATAAATTGGCAGATTTGATAGTCTTTTATTGTATCTTATAAGAGGTAAATATGTATATTTCTAAAGGTAAGACTATCGTGGAGTCCAAGAATCAAACATCAGCTCAGCAAGGCTCGTGTGTACAAGACGACAACTGTAAATTACCCAACTGTTTTTGTTTTGGTGCTAGGCCAACAAATATAAGTCTTAAGGATACGCCGATGTTTGTCATGCTGACCTTCGATGATGCTGTAACAACAACGGTATTTTCTCAGGTCTATTCTGACCTGCTGGTCAACAATCGCTGGAACTTGTTCAATCCAAATAACTGCACTATCAAGTACGTATTGTCCTGCATACTTTTAGGAATCTACTTGTAGATTTGACACACTTTTATAACATTCATATTTAACCGTCTTTTTAAGTTAGGACGTCGCAAGAGGGGAGGGGTGGGTTGCGTATCGCACCGGGTGAAATCGATAAACTGGTGGGACATCAAAGCAAAGAAAAATTTAAGCAAACAGAAAAAAAGAATGCTTTTTCCGGTTCAATTAACGATTCAATACGTGTTGATCTGACGCCATGTCCAGAGCCGGCATTTTGGGGGTGGCGAATGGGGCAGTCTCCCCCAGGCCCCGCGCTTGGAGGGGCCCCGCGCTTCAGCGCCGTTACTATTATCTGAATTAGTTTGTAAACTTAAATAATTGTTGCTGAATTCACTCCGGGAGGAGAATTTGGAAAACACGTAATGAGATACCCTATTGTATGCGGACCGATGAAGACGTTTTGTAGTGAACAGACGAGATGGCTGTAGTAGACAAGTAGTGACCTGATGAACGCTAGTCCTGACTTTCATGTTGTAGTTTTTGTATAGGTAGGCCTATGGTATAACAAAATTAACATTCAGTGGCGTGCATAGGGGGTGGGGGGGGAGGGGTGGGGGATCTATATCATGAGGGGGTGGGGGTACAACAGAGTGATTTATTATTTTATTTTTTTGGAAGAAAGTAAAAGTGTTGTTATGTTGTGTCAACTTAAGGATTCATCCGTTCCTAAACAGAATTATTAATTTACCGAATTCATTCAAACTGTTATATACGATCGTTTCCAATGGTGCTGACTTAATATAGTCATCGAATTGTCCGCGTCGCACAACTTTTATGGAGGAAGGGGCATCGGTGAAGGGCAGTGATATGGTAGTCGTTAATAAACGCACATTTTTTAATTGTAGGATATCCTTTACAATAGTTACAATAATAATGGTTTTTGTTTTTTAAATATTGTACGTATTCTAAACAAATTTTGAAGTCTATACTGTTTTGATACATCGGGCCGAGTTCGCTTATTGTAAAGTTGTCCTGATTTCTCACACTTCTAAAGTACCGGCATTCACGGCAGTCCCGACATGCCGTCGGGAAACTCATAAATAAGGTGCAGCTATCTGTCACGTCGTTTTTCTCCCTAACTATAGACACGAACTTTCTCTTGTGAGACCGCGATCATTACCGGTGATGTGAAACGCGGTCGTTCTATAAACATTCTCTTGAATGACTCCGGAGACCTTTTTTCTTAGGGCTTGGCAACACAAGGCATAGATTTAAATACAGATATTCTTTACCTCACCCCACCAACTGCCACCCACCCCAAAGCTACACAATACTGAACGTCCGTGATTATATTTTAGAATCATTTCTTTTGTATATCCATAAATATAAAGTGTGCTTTCACCATTCGAAACCAGTAAGCTATCAATGTTTTTCTATTTGTTTAAATTTGAATTACTTAAGTTTTGTTGATATTGTAATTTGTTAAAAATTCCGCGCTTACTAACGATAGTCTCTTTTTTAAATACACCTAAAACGCTTGACTTTTATATTAACTATTGGTTATTAACAAACATTTTAAACAACTTTGTCCTAATTTTTGGGCATGTGATTAGCATGCAAGAAATAAAATAAGAACATTAGATTAAAACGTGGGAGAGATAAACATCTGTTAATAAAGTGAGAAGTTTGGCATATATATATATATATATATATATATATATATATATATATATATATATATATATATATATATATATGGGCTATTTATATAATGAAAAAAAAGCAGGCCCCGCGCGTATGGTTGGCACTAGGCCCCGCGTATTCTTAACACCGGCTTTGGCCATGTCTGCCACACCGGCTAACTCTAGACATTGTGACGCCAATAAATATGGATGTCATGTACATCACAATTTGTGAGCTTGGGACATTTTGAGATACACTTTCTGAAAAAAAATAGTTAACAATCAAAAGGCTCTATTAACATTGCCCAGGAACACATAATAAGGGTTAGTCGTCCATTCTATAAGAAAAAGTACCATCTGACTATTCTGTATTAGCATCAGTTAACAAGAAGCTTTTTACACAGGTCAACGTTTTTTGTGTCTCATCAATATACGGACTATAAACTAGTGCAACAGCTTTACGACAACGGGCACGAGATAGCGTCGCACACCGTCAACCATACTGGCAATGTTGAGACATATGGAGAGGTTACCGCGGAGGTAAGGCTATGCTGGCTTTTGTGGGAAATGCTTATTTCCGCCAAAGGTAGAGGAATTAAAACCTGTGCTTATTTTCCTCTCTACCGTTAGAAGATAAAAGCAAAGTGTATATTTTCTCGACCGGATGTAAGAGGCTGAAACCACGTTGCGTATTTTCTCTAACGTTGGCCGATAATAAATACTACCGGTTTAGTATGAAAATGGATCATAGAATCATATTGTTTACAGTTTTAAAATCATCATTAATTGCTTTCTCGTAC